ATATGCTATTGTTATTATTATTTCATTATTATTTGTTACATATGTGCAGAAAGTGCCACTGGCTGCACAGCTCAGACTAGCCATTAGCTTTATCCATCCATCCCTGTCTCTACTGCTTATCTGTGATCAGGTCACAGAGACAACAGGTCCAGGAGAGAAACCCAGACCTCCCCAGTGACACTGACCGGCTCATTCTGGGGGACCCTGAGGTGTTCCCAGGCCAGAGAAGATACACCATCCCTCCAGCGACTTCTGGGTCTTCCCCAGGGACTCCTACCGGTGGGATGTGCCTGAAAAACCTCTAAAAGGAGGCGTCCAGGAGGCATCCTAATCAGATGCTCAGTCCACCTCAGCTGACTCCTCTGGATGTGGAGAAGCAGTGGCTCTACTCCGAGCTCCCCCCCCAGATGACAGAGCTCCTCACCCTCTCTCTAAGGCTGAGCCTGCTCACCCTACAAAGGAAGCTCATTTCAGCCGCTTGTGTCTGGGATCTCATTCTTTCAGTCATGATCTAAACCTCAGGATGATGGGTGAGGATGGAGCATAGACAGACCACTAAACTGAGAGCTTTGCCTTTCAACTCGGCTCTCTTCACCATGACAGACCGAAGCAATGCCCCCATTACTAAGGATGAGGCCCCAATCCATCGAGCCATCTCCCGCTCCATCCTACCATCACTCGTGAACAAGACGCTCAGATATTTAAACTCCTCCACCTGAGGCAAAGTCTCTCCCCCAACCAGAGAGGGTGTTTCCACCTGCTTCCAGCCAGTATGAATCCAGTCAGAATTAAACTCTCATTAAACTCCTCGAGGCTCAGTGAGACTAACCTGTATAAATAAAGGTTGAATGAAGTTCTCTAACAGGAGGTTGTTGAATGAACAATCTAGAACAAGTAAGAAAATAATTGTTTATAATTTTTATACAAAACCGTACTTTAAAAATAAATCTGAAACACTGCTTGTTCTTTAATGTGTAACGAATAGCTCAGCAGGATTAACCCCTGAATCTTTGCTTCCTAACCCACTGCGTTCTTTACTCCGTGCATCAATCCTGAATACAAGTGATGTAAATCTATCTGTAACTCACAGGCTGTTACACAAGTCACGGCAACTTGTAGCAGATGGTGATCCTAACATAACCTTCTTTCAACAGGTGTGTCAGATGAGGATATAGCCAACGTGACTCTACCCACAGGGATCCCCGTGCTGCTTGAACTGGACGAAAACCTCCAGTCTGTGAACCCTCGGAAGCTGCTGGGCGATCAGGCTAAGATTCAGGCAGCCATTAAAAAGGTGGAGGACCAGGGAAAAGCTAAAACTTCGACTTGAATCTGTCGGATTCAACACAGCACTGTTCTGGTTGACTTGAATAACTCGTTAGAGCGTGGTAGGCTGCTCTATGTTTAAACGATTGGACTAGATGTTACAGTTACTGTGTGTGGAGCTGACCCGGGTACTGAGGTCCAACTGGTTCTGTGAGACCAGGAATAAGTTACACAATGTTTCTGCACAGCCAGTTGTATTTAAGTGGATTACTCCTGCTTCCTGCTTGAAATGTTGCTTCTTATGTTCCTATTTATTGACTCGTTGACTGATTTGTAGTAACATTATAAAGTAAATGTTTCTTAGCCATAAAGTTTTTTTTTTGTTACGTTGATCAATTTTAGGGATAGTCATTTTGATTTTAAACACATAATAATACTTAATATACAACTTGTTTTAGTTTCAGGTTTTTATTTAAGTGTTAAAAAAATGACGCCTCAAGTCAGACGAGATCCAGACATGTGGTTTGTGACGCTGCAATGACTCCTACACAGAATAAACTTGAGATGTTAGCGTAATAACTTGTTTATGCTCTGCACTTTTAGTGAGAATAGGACTGAATAAAATATATGTCCTTGCTGATTAAATGACCCAAAAGATAATGGGCACCTAAAATATATACGATAACTGCCTTCCTGGTGGTTACCAGCACAGATTTTATAATCATCGTACGTTGATGTTTTTTTCTATATAGTCAAGAATATGAATGCTGTGAGCTGTAGGTCTTGATGTCACACAGCAGGTGTGTGTTGTCTCGAGGGTTGTTTGCAGATGTAAAGTGTTATTTGTGTCCTGTGTTGGTACGTTGTGTGTTGTTTCATCATCACTGTTTGTCTGTACACTGGTTTGTTTGGTCAGTAGAGGAATCGGATCAGTCAAAGACACATTTTCAGGTATTTAAAGAGAGGAAGCGCTGCTGTTTGTACTTTCATGTCATGTTTTGCTTTGTTTTACCTGTTGAGTGGGCTTGATGAAATAAAAGGGCCGTCTAATTTTGATTGATTGGCCAAGGTTAAAATTTACTTCTTATGCTTAATTTAAACTTTGTTTTATCAGATTTGTAATTGTTTTACAACGTTTGTCTCAGTGATGCACAATTGGCTGTAAACCACAGGTATACCTAATAAAATAAGAATATTGTGAAATAGTTCAATTTGTTTTTGTCAGTCATTTCAGAAAATAAAACTCAAGTATTACATAGATTCATGACAAAGTGAAACATTTTAAGCTTTTATATTTGTTGTAATATTTATGATCATATCTTAAAAAAATAATTAAAAACCAAAACTCAGTGTCTCAGAAACTAAAAATATTCCACAGCCAGCTGTTTGTACCTTTGTCAGTATGGACAGGAGCCGAGTCCAGCTGGAAAATGAAGTCAGCCTCTCCATAAAGCTTATCAGCAGAAAGAAGCATGAAGTCAAAAATGTTCTGCTAGATGCTGCGTGGACTCCATACATCTATCCATTTATCCACCCATCCGTTATCTTCCGCTTGTCCTGAAGTCAGGTCTGGGGGCAGCAGCTTGAGCAGGGAGGTCCAGATATCTCTTTCCACAGCCACTTTTTCCAGCTCTTCTGGGAGGACTCCAAGGTGTTCCCAGGCCAACTGAGAGATGTAGTCTCTCCAGTGTGTCCTGGGTCACCCCTGGAGTCTCCTCCCAGTTGGACATGCCTGAAGCACCTCCCTAGGGAGGCGCCCAGGAAGCATCCTTACCAGATGCCCGAACCTCCTCAATTGGCTCCTCTTGATGTGCAGAAGCAGCGGTTCTTCTCTGAGTCTCTCCTGATAACTGAACTTCTTACCCTATCTCTAAGGGAGAGTCCAGCTACCCTTCAGAGGAAACTCATTTCAACCGCCTGTATCCGCAATCTCATTCTTTCAGTCATTACCCAGAGTTTGTGACCATAGGTGAGGGTAGGGAGGTAGACCAACTGGTAAACAGAGAACTTTGCCTTACTTTTGCTCCCTCTTCACCACAATGGACCGGTACAGAGTCCGCAATACTGCAGATGCTGCACCAATCCTTCTGTCAATCTCATGCTCCGTTCTTCCCACACTCATGAACAAAACCCAAGATACTTGAACTCCTCCACTTGAGGCAGAACCTCAACTTGAAGAGGGCAATCAACCCTTTTCTGGTTGAAGACCATGGCCTCAGATTTGGAGGTGCTGCTTCTCATCCCAGCCGCTTCACACTCGGCTGTGAATCGCTCCAGTGAGGGCTGAAGATCACGGCACGATGACACCAACAGGACCACATCATCTGCAAAGAGCACAGATGGAATCCTGAGGCCACCGAACCGGAAACCCTCCGCCAGCTGGCTGCACCGAGAAATTATGTCCATAAAAGTTATGAACAGAATTGGTAAAAACTGGCAGCCCTGGTGGAGTCCAACTCCCACCCTGAAGGGATCCGACTTAGTACCACAAATGCAAACCAAACTCTCGCACCACTTGTATAGGGACTGAACAGCCCGTAACAATGGGCCCCCAATCTCATACTCACGGAGCACCCACCACAGTGTTTCCCCAAGAACACGGTCAAATGCCTTTTCCATGTCTACAAAAAACACATGTAGACTGGATGGGCAAACTCCCATGATCCCTCGAGGACCCTAGTGAGAGTACTGGACTGTGGACTGTGGACTTCAGAAAACACAGTGGACCAGAACCAGCAGAGGACATGGACCCAAACCATCACTGACTGTGGAAACTTCACTCTGGACTTGAATAATGTTGATCCTGGACCTCTCCTCTTCCTCCAGACTCTGGGACCTTCATATATAAATTATGTGAAAATTTACTTTAACAGGAAAAGAGGGCATTGGACCACTGAGAGACTGTCCAGTTTTTTTGTCTCCTTAGCAGGTAAGACGCTTCTGATGTCTCTGGTTCAGGAGTGGCTGGACTTGAGGAATGAGACATTTGTAGCTCATGTCTGGAGATAATCAGCTGATCAGGGTGAGACACCAGGAATTTACAAAACTGAACTTCACAATATTAAAAAAGAGCCTTCAGGGAGAGAGACAGGGAATTATTGAAGAGCACACAGAAGCAACTAAAAGTCAAGATAAGAAACAGCAAGGAGGTGTACA